CGTCTAATTCCCAAAATGTCCCCCGGGCGCTTTCAATAGCTGCCCACTGCACCACCTGGTGGTGGATGGGTTAAATGCAGAGACTAATTTCGCCATTGTATGGAAACATACAGTGCTGACATTGTGATGACATTATTATTATTATTATTATACTTTTGTTTTTTTTATTCACCCATAGTTCTTATTTGAGTATTTTATTTGCATTTTGTGTATTTTAAGTTTTTTTGATGTGTTCATTCTGAGGCGTTATCCTCCTGGTTGTTTTGCTCTCAGTTGCTTTTATGGTTGCTTTTATCCTGATGCTATCTGATGTTCACTCTTTGTAGCACTTTGAGATTCACTGTGAATGTAAAGTGCATTATAAACAAAAGTTATATATATATATATATATATATATATATATATATATATATATATATATATATATATATATATATACACAGTATTTTCATTATTTGTTCAATGGTATATGAGATGTTTTGCCAAGAGACAGAGTTGACTCCAAATTCTAAACAAAGTTCTTGTCCGTTAGTACCTAGAGTATTTGTTGAGGGTCAGTCTCAGCTACTATCACACTAGCTGTAAAAGTTGTTGTCATTTTTGAGTTTTTTGTTGTTGTTAGTTGACTGTGGGGGACCATCTCTAATTGGGTTGATACTAAAAGTCAATCAGTTGTTTTGGTGTACATCCAATGATGATTTTCTGAAAGTTTCATTAAGATCGACTGATCTGATTCACAAGTTATTTTGCTACCAAAGACACATGCATGCAAGCATTATACATACATACAGTACATACTAAAAAGATGTTAACAAATTGAATTTTTATTCTTAATTAGAAAAATTATCAGTATAGAGACACATCTGTGCAGACTTTCAGTTCCGTCTTATTTTTTCTTTTCTGTTCAAAAGTTTACCAGTATTTTTTAAAACAAATTTAAGGAATTTTATGCAACTTTGCTTTGCTGCTTAGCACCAACTTTGTTGTACTTTTAATTTTCTTCACTTGTTTTTGTTTCATACCACTACATTTACATGAAATAATAATTTATAAATCACCACTGTTCAACTGTAAACTGTTGCTGACAAACTTATTGGACAACCCAGGAAGCACTGAAAATAACAAATCTGTGCAGTGCAGCAGATGATCGCAACACAAAATGTTTTCTTGTCTATAAAATAATCAACCTTTTCAGTGTGGTGACGGAATTCTTAAAAAAAAAGTTTACACAAACCTGTAAAAGTTTGTGTACTTCATACATAACATATGGAATTTAACATCAGGGTGGCACTCACCCACTTCACAGTTCTTTCCAGTGAATCTGTAAGGACACACACATCTGTAACTTCCTGCCTCTTCCTTACAGGAGCCCCCATTGCGGCAGGGGTTAGAGGCACAGGTACTGAGTCTAACTGGAAAGAGACAGGAAAAAGAGCATTCTAGCTTTTAATCACAATCAGAATGCATCCCTTCTGCTTCATCACAGCTCAAGTAATAATTCATGGAAATAGCCCATAACTCATGCATAAGTACAAATTATCTCAAGCCTTTAAGCCGTACAATATTTCAAGCAGCATTACAAGTGATGGCATGTTTCCTGGGGCATGATGAGCTGCTGTTGGGCTACAGCATGAATAATGACGCACAAAGCTGAAGGATGTTTGATAATGATTTGCAAAAATGTCTGCAGGCGCTGCTCTGTCTTTCAATCAATGACTGTACCTTTTTCACAGTGGTTCCCCCAGAATCCATATCTGCATTCGCAGGTGTAGCCTCCTTCTCGTTCGTAGCAGTACCCCCCATTTAGACAGGGAGAGGAGTCACAGACCGATTGGGGCTGTACTGAAAAACACATGAAAAGACTTGACTGTGTTCCACTGCACTGAGGAACAGTAAAGCTTCTGAGTTTTACTCAAAGGCACAGACATGTTCCAGACGTACAAACAATAAATTATCTTGTTTTGCTTTTTCTAGCAAGAACAATGTCAATCATTTGTAAATTTTCATCACCATCTGATTCAAACTGCTAATGTGAGCATGTGATTTTAACTAGAAATGAACATTTGTCAGACACAGAGCTGCCAAAGTGCTTCAGTCTCTTACCATAAGGGTAAAAGTCCATAAGATCATGGTCTACTCCGGTATAACACGAACACAGGTAGGTCCCTCCGTATTCCAAACAAGGACTTCCATCAGGACATGGTCTGCTGTTACTGCACACTGTTTGAGTTACTTCTGAGTGAGAGGAATTGTGAAAGTCTGGTACACAAACTCAGGGAAAATGTCTCACATTTCGAGACATGAGGGATCTTACAGTAACCCATTCAGCAGAGGGCTTGTGAGACACTTGATAGGATTATAGGGATCATACACACCAAACTGACAGTAGGGTCCTGTGTAGCCTGAGGGGCATTCACAGGTTCCATTGATGTCCACACAGACGCCCCTGTTTTGGCATAGACATTCCTCTGCAAGCACAGAGAAAGAGACAGAGTGAGTGGGGCACTTACTCAAATTAGGTTTTCAATATTGACCTCAGAGAAAAGACAAGTGGTACAACGATGTCCCCTGTTGCTGAGGGATTTGAAAAGTGAATATTTGTAGCCATAGAGATGAGTACTTTTCTAGACTAAAATTTTAAGTGGCAACACAATTTTTGATAGTATCCTTTTTAATGCCAAGATGCAGCTACACACAAACATGGAATGGTAAATAGTAAATGGACTGTACACCTTTCTATTTAAATCAATAAACTCAAAGCACTTTACAAGACAATCTGTGCCCTCATTTACCTCCACACACACATTCATACAGTACTCTACTACATCTCTACAAAGCTAATCTGAACAAATTATTCTATAGAGACTAATCAGTGCTATAGGTCACATTCATACCCTGATGGACACGCATCGGATGGTTGAGTGTAGAATGACTTGTTGTGAAGAAGAAAAACGAGTAAATGCAAAAAAGAAAACCAAAAGGTGGAAGCTGAGGAAGGAAAAATGTTGTGAAAAATTCAGAGAGGAGCTGTTTAAGGCTCTGGGTGGTAAGAAAGATCTTCCAAATGACTGGGCTACTCCAGCAACAGTAATCAGAGAGACAGGTAGGAAGGTACTTGGTGTGTCATCTGGACAGAGAAACGATAAGGAAACCTGGTGGTGGAATAGTGAAGTGCAGGATGTTATTCAAAAAAAGAGGATAGTCAATAAGAAATATGACAGTGAGAGGACTGAAGAGATGAGACAGGAATATAAGGAGATGCAACGTAGACCAAAGAGGGAGGTAGCTAAGGCAACGCAGAAGGTGTATGATGAGTTGTATGGGAGGCTGGACACTAAAGAGGACAAGAAGAACAAATTCTGATTGGTGAGACAGAGGGATTAGGCTGGCAAGGATGTGCAGCAGGTTAGGCTTGTTAAATATGAGAACTGTTATATTCTAACAAGTGAGGCAACAAAACGGAAAATGGAAGGAGTACATTTGAGGAGCTAATTAATTCAACATTTATTTATACAGGTTAATCCCACTGAGCTTTGGGGACTCATTTAAAAGAGAAACCTGAATGAATGAAGAGAACGAAAGATAAAGAACAGTAGAGGTCATAGAAGCTGTAGACCAGGAAATGGGAAAGATACGCGAGGGTGGAGTTTGGAAAAGCTTTGAAAAGAATGAAGACGGGGAAGGCAGTAGGACCTGATGGCATACCAGTGGAGGTTTGGAAATGTCTTAGAGAGATGGCAGTGAGGTTTTTGACTCAAATATTCAATGGCATATTTGAAGGTGAGAAAATGCCTGACGAATGCTATGTTTGCTTTGATGATGCTGATGGATAAGTACAGAGAGGATCAGGAAGAACTCCGTTGTGTCTTTGTAGATTTAGAAAAAGCATATGACAGGGTGCTGAGGGAGGAGGTGTGTTATTGCATGAGGAAATCTGGAGTGGCAGCGAAGTATGTTAGACTGGTACAGGACATGTATAAGAACAGCAGGACAGTGGTGAGATGTGCTGTGAGAGTAACAGATAGCTTCAAGGTGGAGGTGGGATTGCATCAAGGATTGGCTCTGAGCCCCTTCTTGTTTGCTCTGTTGATGGACCGACCAACAGATGAGGTCAGGCAGGAATTCCCATGGACTATAATGTTTGCAGATGACATTTTGATCTGTAGTGAGAACAGGGAATAGGTAGAAGAGAACTTAAGAGTGGTGGAGTGCATACAAACGTGAAAGAACATGAATGAAATCAGCCATAGTAAAGGCTCCCACATACTCGGGCGTACTGTGTGTACTCCAAAAAAATGAGCTGCTGACAGCCCACGGTAAAGGCAGCTGGCAGCCCAGGAGCAGTGGTGTTCTGTGTTTATATGTTGTTAATAAAAAGTTTTAAAAAAATTTTAAAAAACAGGGAGCACTGGCCCTGCAGTCCACATATCAGACCGGCCTACCAGGAAATCTCCAGACCCTCCCGCAGCCACGCTGGGCATGATTTTAACTCTCTCGTGACAAATTCCTAATTTCTCACAATTTCAGTCACGGCGTCAACGGACGAGGAGGAAGAGATCGCTTGCCTCTTGGGGAAAAAAAGAAAAGAAAAGGCCATTAAACCAGACCATGGATGAAGAAGGGGAATTTAATACATTGGTGTCACGAACAAAACAGTCCGTCGCAGGGCAGTTTATTGTGCAACACCAAGTACACGTACGCAGTTGTAAAAACTGATCTCTGCGTGGACATGGCTTGAGGGCATTTGCTTCAAGACAGTGTTGAGTCTAATGGGGTACACGTGGACCTCTGTGGAGTGAAGTTCGCCCGAGTGTGTGGGAGCCTTAAGATAGAGCACATGTGTGTGAATGAGATGGAAACTGGTGGAACAGTGAGCAGAGGGTGTGAATGTAAATATGAGTATATATGTGTAAATATGAGCAGAGGTCACAAAGGTACAGGACTTGAAGTACTTGTGGTCCACTGTCCAGAAAAATAGGGAATTTGGTAAAGATGTGAACAAGAGAGTCCAGGCAGGATGGGGTAGATGGAGAAATGTTCCAGGAGTGATTTGTGACAAAAGAGTGGCAGCAAAGGTCAATGGAAAAGTTTATAAGACAGTGGTGAGACCAGCTATGTTGTATGGTCTGGAGACAGAGACACGAACAAAAAGACAGGAGAAAGAACTGGAAAGTAGCAGAAATTAAGATGTTGAGGTTCTCATTAGGAGTGACAAGAATGGATAAGATTAGGAATGAGATCATCAGAGGTACAGCACAGGTTGAACAACTGGGAGATAAATTTAGACAGGCCAGACTGAGATGGTTTGGACATGTCCAGGAAAAAGACAAAGAGGAGATATATGGATGCATTTAGAGAGAACATGGAGGTAGTTGGCATGAGGACAGAGTATGCAGAGGACGGAGTGAGATGGAATTAGAATAAGCTTTATTATTATTGCACATAAGCACAACAAAATAACATTTCAGTACAGCCAATTTGAAGAAACACAAACAAACAAACAACAGACAGGGTAGACGGGTGTCTGAGGCTGCAGCCTCACTGAGAGGTGCTTCCTTTTTGTTAGATTAGAAAAAGGGGAACACGAGGGAAAAGGAGGTAAAAAAAAAAGAGTCATACTGCAGCCTCACTCAGCTCCTCATCCAGCTCTCATAACTAACCCAAACATATGATTCATGGCAGAGTTAACATTCTCAGCCATAGTAATAAAAACGTCCAAAATTGACCAAAAATTCCCTAACAACCTGGCAAACCAATTTTCCAAAGAAACCTTTCTTATGGCTGCATGCAGCCACACATCAAATAGGAACTTGGCTCATTACTATTGTTTTCAAATTATCCAACTCACAAAGTTTACATATGTACATGTTTGGCAGTAGCCATCCCCATTTTGGAAAGCGACCATTTTCATGTAGCCACACACCAAAATGGTAGTCGGCACATTGTTTATTTTTCAAGATATCCAACTCACAATGTTTACCCAGAAAATAAAATAAATAAATAATAATATATATTTATTTATATATTTGCAACTTTCACACTGTGTCCTATCTAGGACACAGTGTGAGAAATGGTTTTTTTACACCTCCGCTTCCCTTGTGTTTCTTTATTCTTATCTAAACAAAAAGGGCAGTGCCTCCCACGAGGCCGCAGCCTCAGACACCTCCATCTCCCCATGTCTGTTTGTTTGTGTTTTACTTTGACGGGCTGTACTGAAATGTAATTTCGTTGTGCTTTGGTGCAATGACAATAAAGCTGATTCTGATATAAATATATGGCAGAAGCCATCTTGGATTTTGACCTAGCAATCCAATTTTTGACAGTGACTTTTCTTAAACCTATATCTAGCTACAAGCCAAAATGGAAGGGAAGTTGATATCTCACTTATAGTTCAAGTCACAACATTCATGGACAGATGGAGCGTATTTCAATTCTCCTGTCTCGCTCTGTGATGGGGGACAACTAACAAATTTTTATTGGTCAGCCTCAGTAGCACATCTTAAGTGTCTTTCATTTATTACACATTAAACTATGCATTTATTTGTTGCTTTTTCCTTTTTTCCCTGCAAAATTCCCAGAATAAGAACGTCCCCATCAGCATGCTGCACATCCGCTCCATACAAATTGTAGGAATGTTTTTGTTTTCCTTTCCCAGCTAATTGCAGCCGTGGATCAAAGAATGAGGCCATATCATGGCTAAGTGGCTCCACCTTTGAAGTCCCGGGAGCTTGGTGGAGGGAATTAAATTTCTGATGATATAGGACATATTTTGTGACCAAAAATGTCTGGCCCGAGGGCAATTAATGGATTGTTAATTTGCAAGAGCCATTTTCATTGGCCACCTGCGCAGCACGGGCCCTTTGATCCGAGAATCTGATTAGGCACTTCTGAGTCCCACCACGTTCTCTTCCTTCTCAGATCGTGCTTCTCTTTCCTCTGTGCCTTCCAAGTGAGCCAGGCAGGAAAGTATTTGGGAGATTTAAGAGAGCATACATAAGCACTGATAGTTATTTCAGCTCAAGGGTGAGAAGTAGTCTGCATTTATAACAGCTCAAAAACACTTAAATAAAACAACATGCAAAGACTGCTATCAGTAACAGTAAATGGTCATGGACACAGTAAAAAGCCCCACCACTGAAGTCATTTCCTTTAAACAAGTATAGAAGATCACTTCTATTAAATAAGACATATCACATCTTAATATGGATTAAACATATGTTGGGTTCATTTGCAAGCCTTAAACTATTGTGTGATGCCATGGCAAACTTCCAGGGAAGCAAGTGTGGAAGCATGCATATTTTAAGAAGTAATTAGCTAAAATACCAAAGCACTGCTTTTACTCATAAAGAAAGTCTTTCAAGTCTAGACAAAGCATTTCCTCTTGTTGGTAAACTAATAAAACCTGCTATAAAACAATTATTCACAGGATCCAGCCACTGGTTAATGCAGTAAAACGGGTGAGGCTGTGTCAGTTCTGATAATTACAATAATCCATCATTACAACAACTTCTTCCAGGGCAGAGTGCCAAATTCCTGTGGGACAGCACCACTCTTCTTCAAATACCACAGTCTGCTCTCTACCTGCACAGCTGCCTGCAGTTAGTGTCGGTGAAATAAACCCTCACACTTGCCACCACAGAAGCTTGGAGCACAGCTTACAGTTCTTCACTCCTTAGCTAGGTGTTATCAGCCTTTAGAGTTTGAGATGAAAACTAATGGACATGTTGTGCTTTAAAAAACAAGATTACAGCCAAACTTGTTCTTGTTTTACCTGTTTGATTGAGTGCTTCTGAGGAATTCACATGTGGTATCACCAACTCTAAAAGAATAAAGGAAAAATGTACAGGTAAGTTGCTTCATTTATTAAAACAACAGAATTAAATCATGGAAAGGTTCATCACCCTGTGTTGTTACATCACATTTATTATGCTTCTGCATTTGTTTGGCGAAGGTATCAGCATTTAAAATTAAATACTAACACCCAGTTGGAATGGAGCTGAATGGAAGTGTGTTGCAGCACAGAAAAATTCAACGTTAAATTGAGACTTCGCATCTTGAACACAAACACACCTTCCACTAGGGAGTACAAGCCTGTGTATTTCTGATGGTCCCAAGCCCGGGTAAACAGTGAGGGTTGTGTCAGGAATGGCATCCGATGTAAAACACTTTTGCCAAAACTATAATGCAAGTTCATCAAAGCAAAACCATACCAGATCGGTCGAGGCCCGGGTTAACAATGACCGCCACCAGTGGTGTTGACAAACAAGGTGTCTGAGGAAATTGTGCTACTGTTAGTTGAAGACCATGAGGAGGTAAATGTGTCAGGAGACAGAGGGAGAAGAGGAAAGTGAAGAATGTAGGCATGAGGATTGCAATTCTAAATGGGGGGACAATGACAGGCACAGGTAGAGAGCTGAGTGACATGATGCAGAGAAGGAAGGTAGATATTTTATATGTCCAAGAGACCAAATGGAAGGGCAACAAGACTCGCAGCATTGGAGCAGGTTTCAAACAGTTTAACCATGGTGTGGATAGAAAGAGAAATGGAGTAGGGGTGGTCCTGAAGGATGCTCAGGGCATGTTCCTGCTTCACTCTGCTGGCACTCACTAATATATATGCAGATTTTCCACATTTACCATCAGCAAATGTTGCCATGTATGGCATTTGCCTTTGATATTCTGTTTCAAATTCATTACTTTTTACTGTTTTATTTTGGCAACTGGTTAAAAAAAAAACATCAAAGACAACACTATATAGTTTCTTGTGTGAGGGCATGTAAAGTGGCAGTGAAAAAGACAGAAATGCACAGTGGGAGCCACTTCAAATCTTGCCTAGGGCACCAAATTGGCCGAGGCCGGCACTGGTTGGAAAACTTCTTAATTGTTTTGCAAAAGAAAGAAAATGTGTCAAAATGGAAGAAAACTTGTTCAGCTCCAACATTTTTGGCATATGTTGCAAAATTGAATAGATGTGTTGTAATAAACGCAACTAGACTGATAAGACAAAACATAAAATATCTAAGTTGCCAGCTTGGGCTTCCAGACTGATTTTGGATTATACTAATAGTTTTAATGACCAAAATTAGTTGAAATCTTTTCGAAAAGGGAAATGAGACTGAACTACAAAAAATTAGACTACAAAACATTTAATGAAACTATTACACATTTGATCTTGATAGCTGTTTTAAAAAAGCATATTAAAACAAGATTTTAACACTTAGAGCATCTACCACTAAGGTTTCGTTCTACAAATTATAGTAAATTTATTTACTTATGATCAACAAGCTATTTTTCTGACTGAGCCTCAGTGGCAGAATTCAAGTTCATGCATTCACCTGTTTCACAGAACATTCCGGTGAAAGTGTGAGGACACACACAGGTGAAAGCAGCCACCTGATCGATGCATTGTCCTCCATGCAGGCAGGGCTGGGACTCACACTCGTTTATGTCTAAAGGATCCACAAAAAGATTTATGACAAGAAATGTTAAGACGACACAGAGATAGATCAGGAGGATTGGACTTGTGAAAGCTTAGAGTTTTATTGAGCAGGTGTCGGGGATTAAAAATAATCTGGTTTCATTTAGAAGCCAGGATTCATGAACTTGATACGTCTGATCATTTAATTTGGATTAAGGTTTCAACAGAAATCACTCACAGAATAGTTGGATCACAAAAGGGCTTTTTATATATAGACTTTACTTCTTTGCACTTTTTGTCCCGTCACAGAACAAAAAGGGGGAAATTAGAAATAATCTTTGTTCGCCCGTGCATGTTGTGAGCGCAACAACTTGAAATATACTGGTATGTATGTATGTATGTGTATATATATATATATATATATTTATATATATATATATATATATATATATATATATATATATATACACTGAATATATCACCCCACCTACAAAACCACCCCTATCCTTTGGGTAAACTATGCTTTCTAGTTTTTATATTGTTTAAAAGTATAGTTTTCTAAAATGACTGGGGTGGGTGACGTATAAGGTATAGTGGCCAAGGCCACCATTGGCCACCCCCTGGCTCCACCACTGCACCTGGTCATAGATGAAATTGCTCCCTCCACTCCCAAGACTCTGTCACTCTGCACTGCCTCAGAGTAGAAAAAAACTTCCTCTGTTCTTCTACACAGTGTAACTCCTACCCACTTGAATATCGTGCACTCAAAAGATTAAGGTTCACTCTCATTCCCAGTTCAATTCCAGTCCAGAAAAACACTCATCTTAAAATGTACAAACATTCACTATTCAAATCCCTCAGCGACGGGGGCACCGCTTGTTCATCATGGTTTGTTTCAACATTTTGTGATACAAAGAAAACAAAATAGAGTTGTTTCAAAATGAAATTCAAACCCATTTGTCTAGAAGACCAGGAAACACTTTGACAGCAACATCTGCTAAAATACTGAGTTTAATGTAAAAAACAGTGAAAATGATTTCATGTGGAGAGGAAAGGCTGCTCACCTGTCTCACACAAGACACCAGTGTAACCAGGCTCACACACACAGGTGAAGTTACCAAGTCCCTGCACACACGACGCGTTGTGAAGACATGGCCTGTCCTCACACTCATCAATGTCTGCAACACACACGCAGAATATTTACTCAGCTGATTATAACATCCGCCACACAACTCCCCTCATTCTGAAAGTATGCACCGCTGGCTGTCAAGATAAGACCATGAAGGTCTTCAGAAGAACCGGGAATTTCAACCGTGTGACATCTTCATACACAGTAAAAATGCATTTTCTTGAAAAATTCTTTAAAACATTTTTATTTTTATTTTTATTTTGAACTTTCAAATAAACTTAGCTACCTGTACATTAACTTGGTCTGAGATGCTCCTTGAAAACATCTAATAAATGAAGCAGTGTGTAATCTCAAAATCCTTAAATATTTTAAAAATGTCACCAAAACTTGTATTTAATAAAATCTAAAGCAAATAAAAAAATATGTAGTAAATAATTCTTGGATTTTATAAATGACTGTCTTTGCCCTTTTTGTTCATGGCGTTGCATACCGTTTCAAAGAACAAACCATAAATGTGCAGACGTCTGGGTCCTGTACCTTTACACGGTCAAAAATTTACATCCACTCATCATAAGCAAGAATATTTTTATAATTTCAGGTCTTAAATCATTTATTTAAATTGTTCGTTTTTTTCAGTGTTGGTACAATGATAATGCATCTGAAAAACAAAAGTTGGTTGCACAAAAAAATAATTAATTGTGAATTTTCTCTAAACCACACAGGGTTATTCTGCTAATAAATCAAACACCTCAATAAATATGTAGCTGAATTACCCGTGGCAATATATATATATATATATATATATATATATATATATATATATATA